GTGTCTTTTATACTTCAGATCTGTTTGATTAATCAAATATCTCTTTCCTCTGAAAATTTTATATGTGATGCTTCATGTTGGTATGAGGTATCACATAGTTTCTGCAATATCTAAACCTTCGGAAGGGAGGGGGAGGGGGGGTTGCTTTGTTTTATATGAATTTTCCTAATTAGTCATAAAATGTTTCCCTGCTAGTGTTGCACATTTCTTGGAGTCGCGAGGTATGGTAGAGGAAGCATTAGAAGTTGCAACAGAGCCTGACTACAGATTTGATCTAGCCATACAGCTGGGAAAATTAGATATTGCAAAGGTGGGGGATCCTAACTTTAATGCATGTGGTTTGAACTTCCATATCTTCTTTTAAACTTGTTTGTTTCTTAAGAACCATATGATGTTTAGAAGTGTGGCTTGTGGCTTGTGGCTTGGCAGGATATTGCAGTGGTAGCTCAAAGTGAGTCCAAATGGAAGCAGTTGGGTGAACTAGCCATGTCTGCCGGAATGGTAACTGTTACTACCATTAATTGAAATCTTATTTTTGCCGCATACATTTAGTTTTTTTACTGAGAAAATGGATGGTTCAGATTTTAGGAATGATGCCATAGCTTGTACTTGTTTAAACTCTTTCTTTAAGCTGAACTGGGACTACTGCTAAATATATCATTCAGAGCTAAGTGAAATTTTCCAGCTCTTTGTTTTTGTATTCAAGTGGTTGAGGTGCTTTGTAATTTGGTCTCTTCAGATGTCAGCAGTACTTTTCTGAAATGCACGTGTGTATTTTCCTGAGTTCTTCAGAATTTTTGCTCATTTGCTACATTTTGTAGCTGGAGATGGCAGAGGAATGTCTGAAGTATGCCAACGACTTGAGTGGTCTGTTGCTACTCTATTCTTCACTAGGAGATGCTGAAGGAATAACTGAACTAGCAACTCTTGCCAAAGAGCAGGGGAAAAACAATGTCACATTCCTTTGCATGTTCCTTTTGGGTAAAGTGGAGGAATGCATTCAGCTATTGGTTGATAGGTATTTCTTTTTGCTAAAGAACATATTGTTTAGGTGTGTTTTCAATGGTTCAGATTGATATATAGAGTTACAATTTATTTGCAGCAATCGGGTACCTGAGGCTGCTTTTATGGCTAGATCTTATCTGCCAAGTAAGGTTTCTGAAATAGTTGCAATTTGGAAGAAGGACCTCAGTAAGGTCGGTGTTTCTCTGATCTTGAGCTTTCTTATCTGTATACACCTTCTGAATTTCTGGCACTTAGGACCAAATATTTGGCGGGATGGTCACCTGAGAGATCTGTTGGAGCTGCAGAACCATCTAGATTTGATTTTCATTTAACATAGTGGGATTAAGCTTCTTGACCTAAGTTTCTGGTGCAAAGAAACTTCGGAGCTCTTTACCTCTCGGACTTATTATTTACTCCTGTGATAGGCATCAAAAGTAATATTATTGGACAATTTTTCTGTTCCACTTGCATTTGTGTATTATCTCCATGGAATGACCACAAGAAATATATTTAATGAGTTTTCAGGAAGCAGACTATTCTGTTATGAATTATGTCATGCCTTAATCTAAAGATTTGATATTGAATATAGTTTGAACACAGAAGTGAAGGGTATAATCCCTTCTCAAAAAAAGAAGAGTGAAGGTTGTAATCATTTTTCAATACGGACTATATGGCTTCATGCAGGAACATTGCTATATTATCTGTAGTCCTGTAGCAGAAAATTGTTGTATTTTAATGTGGTTTATTCATGAATGGATCATTCAGGTTAACCAGAAAGCAGCAGAAGCTTTGGCTGATCCTGAAGAATATCCTAATATGTTTGAGCACTGGCAAGTTGCATGTGCTGTTGAATCTAAAGTTGCAGAAGAAAGGTGTTGATAATGGCTCTATCTACTTCCTATGCATTTCTTCTATACTCTCTCAGCCTACCCTGGTGGCTTTCTGAAAATTCATGGGAGTTCCCCATTTCTTCTTTTCTCTTCTTTCTAGGACAAATTTGCACCAGTTTGGATAACTTTTGTAATTTCTGTTCCAATTCCTATGTAGGGGTGGCTACCCACCAGCAACAGAATATGTTAATCATGCTGATAGATCAACTAACAACCTTGTAGAAGCTTTCAGCCACATGAAAATGGATGAAGAATCACTTGAAAATGGAGATATAGACCACGAGGTATGACATGATGGTTTTGCTATTTGCCTTCTAGTTTGGGTTGATTTAACATTCTGTATACCTATCATGAAAGAAAAAAATAAATAACCATATCTTTGTACATGATAGGAGAAGTCCTTTCTCGATGTTATTTTATACCCGTATTGAAACAGCTTAGACTCTATCAATTGGTGTTTGTTGATGCTAACAATTAAATGTCTGTGTCAACTGTTCAGGTTGCAGAACAGAGTGATGATGAGGTGCAAGAACTGGGGCAAGATGATGCACAAAATGAGGGACAAGAAGAGCCCGTAGTTGTGGATGCTGATTCTACTGACAGTGCGGTACTCATTAATGAAACTGAGGCAGAAGAAGAGTGGGGTACGAATACTGAAGGAAAACCGTCAGCCTAAAAGCAATTGGTTGGGCCGGTGTGAAAATCCTAGTTTTGTTGCTGGTGATTATTGAATTTCTCTTATTTGCGTTTTTGACTACCATATCATATTCTTCTGGTGTTTCTATTGTGTATATCCCTGTTTTTATCATATTGCATTATGTTTGTCTTTAGAAAATGTTGAATAAACTCTGACTTAATGAACTTCACCCTAATTCAAGATAGAAAAATTTTGTAGTCTGTTCCCTTCTTCCCTATGGAGAAGTTTCTAAGCATTGATTTTTTCAAAGCTTTAACTGACAGGAAGAAGTGAGGATTAGAAGATATTTCAGTCCTTTATCGGGATCCTTGATTTGGCATTCATTTGTTTTTTGGCACAAATTAATGCAGTTTTCACCCTGTTTCTTCTTCAACTGTTTTCACCTACTATTATCTAATTATCCCTACTATTGTTTGTTTTTATTTTGTCCCTTTCTCCTTCTAACTCTCATACTTACTATTGATGCTTTTGCAGTGCTTACACCACGCCACTAGGCTCATTCAAGACAGTTCCATCTGTATGTAATCATTTCTTATGTTACAATTTTTCTCCATCAACTGTTGAAAGTGTACGTCTGTTTAAGGCTCATCTATATGTAGGCTTGGTTAGGTGTCTCTAGTTCATAAACCTCATTGTTTTCTGTCTCAAATGGGATAAAGCTGAAGAAATTCTGGCTTTATTATTGAAGCTGAACACTCCTTTGTTCATCCCAAAAAATTTGGTCATATTGCCAGGTTCTCATGGCTTGTCAGGATATGTAGGATTATTGCGTTCTGTAGCTTAACACCTGCATGATGTTAGTTAAATATTTGAGTATATTGGCATTGGTAGTTGGGCAAGTGGCAACTTGTACTTGCAGAAAGTATCGCTAATCTGTATATTATTAATTTCTTATCTTCAAGGCACATTAGGAAAGCTCTACAGAAGATAAACGTTTTTTTTTTTGGTCCTGGCTCATCTAAATATTGATATTTGTTAAATATTGCAGGTTCAATAGGTGTTTCCTTTAAAGGGGGCGATCAACGGACTGGGCATGTCTGTTCTGCAAGTGGTGTGATTTTGTAGCAATGAGTTTTGTAGGCATACTGGACATATGTTTCCAGCTTCTTTGTTAGCTTTAGTCACTCATAGTTGCTTTATCATATTCTTTCGAGGCATACGTTTTTCACCCTTCAATATCTTCATATGTCATTGTCCACTGTAGAAACACTATAAGCCATATATGGAAGTGGAGGTAATGCAGATGTGTGCTCAAAAACTGCAATCTGAAGAAATGAAAATTATAATCAGGATATTTTGTTTGGTGCATTACTGTGGAACGATGGACAGAAAGAAGAAACTTTACAAGGATACGAAAGACTATTAATATGCCTTTTATATGACAGATATAAACTCGCTTGTTTCAGTTTAAGATCTATGTGAGTGGTACCAATTAATCAAGAATATGTTTAGCCATGTTAATATGTATACTTTAGATGTTATATTTTCTATATCTTCAAAAGAAAGAAAGGACCTAGCCAAAGAGTTGACAACTCATTAAAATAGCATGCAAACGCACAAGTTCAAAGGTACTTTAAAATTACATCAGAAAGCTGGTAGATTGCTGATTCATATAACTAGTTCGTCTCTTTACATGCTCCATTCCATGAGGTTGAGTATGATAAATATTTACCCGCATTTGGTATTCTATTATAATAAAAATCAAGCAATTTAGCATCATCAGTTATAAACTAAAATAAAAATATGTATAACCATAATTTAATGATTAATGCGTGTATAAAACATATATCTTGTATCATGTATATATTGACTTTATATCAATACTAGATGGTTGCTGATAACTAAGAGAAAATCACACCCTTAACGTATGCGCTCTTTTTTGAAGCTGTAGAAATGTATTGTAAGAAAGAGGGACAACTGAAATGGACAAGAAACTGAAATTCTGAAGATGGTAGGAATTGAAAATGAAAGAAAGATTTCATTTATTAGTGTCTATGCCTATGAGTTTTGCAATATAGATTTCTTTTTTTCTGGTGGATAATGAGAAAAAGTTACCAATTCTATCACTCCAAAAAAAAAAGGCTAAAAATTTATCTGGACCAAAAATTCACAACAGGTGTACAAGGATATAGCATAATACCAAATGGAGAAAAAGGAAAAAAGAAAACAGATGAACGCACACACATGAGAGCATTAAGTTGCATAGCCCAAATTGACAATAGTTGCAACTTGCAACAATGAAGATAACATAATATATCGGCGTTTTCTTCTTGTTCTTAATGATACCATGCGTCTCCTTTTGTGTGTTTCCATTGAAGCGTGTGGTCGCACCTCATTAAAAAAAATGAAGCACATATCATTCATTATATACTCAGGCTCAGCCATCTCTATATTTTTAAGTAGGTCTACTAAACACCATCCTCCTTCTTTCCCATGGAAAGATATTTTGGGATAGAAACTGGCCATGGAGGAAGAACGTACAAGAATGCTAACCTCGGAGGTACTTGTGCATACCAGGACAACCATCCTGTTGATTCGTAAAAGTATTCAGTAGCGACTGGATTACCATGAGCCTCCAATTTTAAAGTCTTGACATTGTATGTGACAATATAGGCCCCTAAGCTCAGGCAAACAATGTTGCCATCAAATGGATGGAAGGCAAGAGGAGCAGGACATGATCCAGTTAACCCCTGGCTAGTTAAGATATCATCAAACAAGATATCAGTAACCTTAGTTCTGTGCAGCAAAGACCAAGTAGCAGAGTCATAATCATCAAGAACCCATAGAGAGAAACCTGAAAATCCAAAGGGATCCGAGGGTGCTAGAGACACCTCAAAGTACCTCAATCGACCCTGATGCACATTACACAGGCTATACAATCCATTGTTTTTGTAGTTGTTACATTGCTTGTCAATGTCAGATGGAAGTCCAATGATGCGGCACTGATTGGAATCCCTGCAAGGATCACATGCCACAATCCCAAGCCAACGGTCAATCCAATGCAACATTCCACTGAAGGAAAAAGGCATCCTCAGCCAGGCAATCTGAATTGCTTGGTCACTGTGCACAACAACTCTCCTCCAGCTCCCAGTTTCAGAACAGAATATCTCAAACTCGAGGTTATGCCACTCCCATAATTGACAACCAAATCGCACCACTTTATAGTTCTTCAATGTTCCCCCTTCAATTTGGGTTAGAAAACCAGTACTGACAAACCGAAAGCACAAAAAAGGTGGAGGAAGGGCAACACACTGATGTGTGATAGGGTTATACAAGTGATAATCTGTCATGTGATTGATGCTATTCTCCATAAACACAATTCGTCCGTACAACACTAGTCCATCGCTAACTGCTACGATATCATAGTGTTTGCGCCAAGAAGATCGTTGAGGAAGAGGAAGATAAAGATAACGTGAGAAAATAGGGTACTCAATCAGATCATTCTCGTCTGCAGATAACATGTCATCCAGCATTAATGGGGGATCAGGACAGAACTTTGTGCCCTTAACATGCAGACGGTGACTAAGCACGGTCCACGGTTGTGGCTTATGTGACAAAGAAACTCGAGAAATGTACAAGTTGACAAAAGAAGGAGCCGAAATAAACGAAAGCCACTGCTTTGATACACATTTCAACCTAAAAACACATTTCAAAGGCAATCTTGATAGGACTTCCTCCAAGAACCAATCTGGAATATATTCAGTCTCAAACTCAACCAGCCCCATATACTTTGGTTTCACAAGCTTCAGACCTCTTGTGGTGCTCTGGAAATTCATCTCCCTCTAGTTGAATTTGCTAAATAAATCTTCGCAGGTCAAGAAATCAATAGAAAGGAGAATTGAGGTCCGTGATTGTACATCTAAAGGTGACCCCTGACAATTGATTCTGAACCCCAAGTAGCCCTGAGAATTCACCTACAAAGATTAAGAGACATCTCATATGGCAAAGGGATCTTTACACAAACAGCTGAACTGTTTACTTTTTCTAGCCAGTATACATAGATTATAACACTATCACAATTCACACCAAAATTTATACATGAATTATATATATATATATACACATCCGCCGGTGATTTTTAGTTTAATCAATTGGGTAAACAACTATTTAGGTTATAATTCTTCTATGGTAAGAAAGATGATCCAGAGACACCTCATAAAGAAAAACCTGAATCTCATATGGCAAAGGGATCTTTACATGAATAGCCGAACAGATTTTACTATTTACTTTTTTTTTCTAGCCCGTATACATAGATTATAACACTATCACACCCAAACTTATACATGAACTATACATATATCTATACATCCATCGTATTTTAGTTTAATCGGTTGGGTAAACAACTATTTAGGTCATAATTCTTCTATGTCAGGAAGATGATTAAGATACACCTCATAAAGAAAAATCTGAATCTCAACCTAAACAGATATCAAGAAGATTCTAGCAAAGTAACACCAAATCAACTAGATGAATTTGCAGGCTGACATAGGTCAAAAAACACAGAATAAATCACAAATGTAGCCAAAAGTGTACTTGAGAAAATGAAACAATTCAACTAAGGGAGAAATTAGATCATATAGCAGGCACTGTTCTTGCAGAATCAGGAGGAAACTCAGTTGCAGAATAAGTGATAGAGTGAAGACCAAATTTACCTGGTGGCCGGCGATGATGAGTGAATTTGGGGGAAGCGGAATTGGAGGGAAGACGGAGGGAATTTATAGGGAGTAAAATGGAAATTGACCTTTATTTCACAAACAAAGAAAGAAAAATATATTTTTTTAAATATAAGCTCATATTTTAATGTTAATTTATTATTACCTAAGAAGGCAAATATATGAAATGTGTTTGTGGTACCCGACTACAATTTAAAAGAATTACAATTCATAGTTAGTTAAGAATTTTATTGCAAATTCCTCTCTTCTCTCGTCCTCACTTCTCCTCTCTCTATACTCTCTCTCTCTCCTCTATGTCCTCCCTCACCTGTTCCTCCCTGTTTCTGCAATACAAATACAAAATAGTAACACATAAACATATTACACAAGGAAACATATGCATACAAATGTACATTGACACAAATACAATTTGTTACTAATTACAACAATGAGATAATTGTATTTTGTTGATACAATTGTACTCGTCAATATGAATTGTATTCGTTAATATACTTAATACAATTGATTTATATATGAATATAATAGTTATTGATACAAATCAATTGTATTCATTATTGGTATTTTAAAAGGCGAGGGCATGAGGCAAGATGTTTTATGCACTCGAGGCGAGGCATATGCCCGGAGACATGAGGTGTAAGTCTCATGAATCTACGGGATGTAATCTCATTTATATTCAATTTTATAATTTTATTACTAAGAAAATAAACAAAAGTAAAACTTTTTCAATGATTTTACAAATAAATTTTAATAAATAACCTATAATATATAGAAAAGTGTTATGATTTTTATTTGAGAAATATTAATAACCAATAATGAAGAAAAAAAGTATTATAATTACTATTTTGAGAAATACCATTACATCAACAATAAAAAATATGATTTAAAGCAAAAAAATTCAAATAATAAAAATAAAAATAACGCCAGGGCATATACGCACAAGGCTTACGTTTTTACGCTCAAGACTTATGCCTCAAATTATAGGACTGATGCCTTATAGATCTACGTATTCAATTTGCGCCCCGAAACGTTTTTGGTTAGCCCCGCCCCGAAACTCGCCCCAAAAATATTTTTGAAAACACTATTTATGATACAATTATCAATCAATATATAGAAATCAATTGTGTATCTCTGTACTCTCTCTCCCGGATCTCACTTGAGTCTCCTCCTCTTTCTAACAAGTAGCTACAAATCACAATTAAGCAAACTATAACTAAGGAGTCTGATTGTGGGTCTAGCCTTAGTTCTTGAAATTTTCTCTTTTTAAAAGAAGAAAATTATGCAGAATAACAAACATTTAGCACTATATCTACATTTTAAGAAATTTGTAATTCACAACTACAATTTTCCCAATTCTTGCTATTCACATGTTTTTGTATAATTCGCCTGATTTTTATAAATCCATAATTTGTATAATTCGGTTTCTGATGGTATAAATTTAGAAATTTGTATATGTTTATCTTAGCTATTTGTGTACAATTTATGAAAATTTCATAATAAATTACCATGATTGTATGTTGACAAGTGAAATATACAAACGGAGTTCTAAAAAATTTCTAAATGTATAAATACAGAATTTGTATGTATACTCACCTTATCTATATATTCGCAAGCAAAATATACAAACGGACAGAAATATACAAACCACAGCCTTCATAGCAAACGAAACTATAGCTATGGAGTGCAACTATCTAAACTATAGCTATAGAACCTTATTATGTCTATTGTGTTTGTTTTTTCTAAATTTTTCTCTTTTTTAAAAAGTGAATATTCTATTAGGATAGCCCATGAATTTCTAAAAGCCTGAAACCAATAGCTTTTCCGTGCATCAAAGAATGTTCCTCAATTCTAGGTGTCATCCATATTTTAAATGGGGAACTTTCACATATAGCCACTCAAAAATAGTCTAATTACTCTCCATAGCTATAGTTTGATAATTACAATTCGTAGCTACATGTTATATGGAGGAGAGAGGCGAGCGAGATTGGGAAAGAGATGAGAGATGCGAGAGAGAGGGGGCAAAGAGTGGAGAAAGGTGAATTGTATATGTATATAGGTTAGATAATTGTATATTATACATATATATTTGTATATATGGCAAGTGAGATTGGGAGAGGGAGGAGAGATGCGAGCGAGATTGGGAGAGGGAGGAGAGATGCGAGCGAGATTGGGAGAGGGAGGAGAGAGGCGAGAGAGAGAGGGCAAAGAGTGGGAGAGAGGTGAATTGTATATGTATATATGTTAGATAATTGTATATTATACATATGCAATTGTATATATAGCAAGCGAGATTGGGAGAGGGAGGAGAGAGGCGAGCGAGATTGGGAGAGAGAGGAGAGAGGCGAGCGAGAGAGGACAGAGAGTGGGAGAGAGGTGAATTGTATATGTATATAGGTTAGATAATTGTATATTATACATATGTATTTGTATATTCTGACGAATTATACATATACAAACATGACTAATTATACAAACTTGAAGTCAGCCCGTGTAATTAATGTATAATGTTAGTCGTGAGTGGTAATTATAGCAAACTATAGCTATAATGAGTAATTAAGTAGTATAAGTTTGCTTAACCGCGTAATTTTTCCATTTTAAATTGGAGAAAAGTAAAACATTAAAACTCCCTCGCTTAGCAATAGGATAGTTATATTACTTTTCCACAATCTCATTTTCACGATTTAAACTGCTCATATTTCGCTAATCGTTACTATGAAAATCATTTTTTTCTTTGGCTACTCTAAACTAGAGTATCCGTCTATCCGATAATGAATAATAAATGAATAGAACATGCTAAATCATACAAATTTTCCTTTTCAAAAATTCAACATTAAAAGTGTCTGGAGCCCATATTGGAGCTCCAACTAAATTCGAATCGCGCTCTGCAATGCCCATTTGAGGGGTGACGCTCCCAACAGGATTTTCTTCATATCCAAGGCTTGAACCCAAGGCCTCTGGTTAAGGGTGAAACACTCCCACCAGTGCACCACAACCCACGTTGGTTCAACATTAAATATAGTTTAAATACTAACAATGTTAAAGCCGACTACTTATTAGTATTAATATTGCTACTTTTTTCTGATCTCTCATAGCGGTCCACTCTTTTGGGCCTCTTTTCTTTTCGGCCCAATATATGTTTTCTTTTTTGTTCTCATCCTAAAAAGCCCTTATTTATTTAATTATATATATTACAGTGACACCCGTCCCTATCTCGTATTCCTAATCAATATTAGATCTTTCTAGGGTTTTTATATAGTGCTCGGTTCGACAGCGTAACTTCATTTTTCGAAACTCCACGAAATTTGAATCCTCTCAGGTAAATTCACTCATTTAATCTTAGTATACTTCCATTTTTTTGTCTCAATTTATATTTTGCCTATCATATTTGTCCAATTTCATTGAATTTTTGGTTCCTAGTTCCTTAAACTTAATAGTTTTTTCTATTTTTGGGTTCATAAAATTGATTTTGTAGATTATTTTTTTAGTTAGTGATGTGTAAGCGATGTCAATCTAGAACAACCGCTAAAAATATGAAGAGATAAACATACGAATAAATCAAGTGGATTTAACGCAATAATTTTGACCTTAGTCAATCGTAGTATCCGGGATACTAAGTGTGGATCTTCTCTTTGCCTGAGATGAGCTGTTTCTTTAGACTCCCAATTGTGTGTTAATTTTCAGCTGTCTCTATCAATATGTATTGTCGGTGACTTGTAGTTAAATATGTAATTTGAACTTTGATGAACTGGCTATTGCAAGAGTGATGAATAGTGTTATGAATTGTGTGTTACAAGAATTAGTATGAGGTTTTTTGAGGTAGTTCTTACTGTTTATTTTTCTTCTTGGAAGTTTGATTTGATTGAATGTTATGATGTTACATTGAAAAAATTATAAGCTCAGATTCATTTTTCCAAATGTAAGTGAATGTTATCTTGGTTTCTCAAAATTTGTTGCCTTTTTGTGTTTGTTTAATTTATATGATTTTTATATATTTAGTGGAGTTCCGGTAGATGTTTGCTTCCACCATTTGTTAAACACTTCTGCTTTATTGACTATAATGTTTCAAGTCCAATGTATTGCTTTAGCTAGTCGTTTCTTTGTTGGTT